CGCTGGTCCTGTTTTAACTCAGCAAACATTTGTGGCGCTAGTAATGCTTGGCACTGCTCAGTCGCCAGGGACTTAAATATGGTTTCAGTATTGGGAAAATTCTAACTCAGAGGTTCTCAACCTGCCTAATTCTGCAACCCTTTAATACAGCTCCTTATGTTGGGACCCCCCAACCACAAAATTATTTCATTGCTACTTTGTAACTGTAGTTTTGCTACAGTTATGAATTGTAATGTAAATATCTGATGCGACCCCAAAGAGGTCATGACCCACAGGTTGAGATCTACTGGCTGTCAGGACCTAACTTATCAGGAGGCCTAATGAATGTGACAGTGTTCTGAGGAACAACCCAAGAACAACAGGAGGAGTGGGACTCCTCGGGTTTCATTTAAGAAGTGATGTTGAGGCTTGTCCTCAAGTGTGAGGGAGTTTATAGCAGTGCCTTCAGAAATCTTGAGACGGTCATTCAAGTTGGAGACAGGTGTACGGGGAAGAAAGAGGGGGACTGTCACAGACTATGGTTATGTCTTAGAGGGAAGGGATGAGAATTGCTGAGAAAGTCTGATGAACATCTGAAAAGTTCCTTACTCACAAACAGCTTAGTTTTGTGTCCAAATTGTGTTAGGTCATTAAAAGTAAAGAAAACTTTAAGAGTCACTAGAAGAGCTCTGGAGATAGATCAACCAATAAAAGATCAACCTGAGTTCAAATCCCCAGAATCCACATTTAAAAAAATCTGGGCATGGCTAGCATTCTCTTGTAATGACAGCAGTGGTGAGACAGGAGGATCCTTGGAATCGCTGACCTCCATCCTCTGCAGTACCCGCTGCGATCTCATCCAGTCCTGAGCCTTGAAACATCAGCAGCCATATCTCCTACAGTGCAGACTCTCTGAGTGTCTGCTGGATGCCTAAGGGGTCCCCAGTGCCGCCTGCCTTCTGTTCAGCCTATGAACTCTCCTCCAAGGATGCTGCAAACCTAAGCCCTACCATTCCCTTCACCCCCAGAACCTAGGGACAGGTAGAGAATAAGTTCCAGGTATAAATGAGAGACCCCGCCTCAAGTGAAAGGTGGAAGGCACCTGTGAACAATATTCAAAGGGAAACTTGGACCTTCACCTACACACACATATCACTGAAAATTATATGCAAATATATCTTAAATAAATGATTACCTGAAAAATGAAATTTATGCCCTGGCAATGCTGAAACATGTCTGGGCAGCTTGTATATGACGGTTCTGTTGAACTTGTCCATATTGGGTTTATTGGTCTAAGTTGATAAGGACGACTGACCAGTACGCAGGAGCAGCCCATCTATGGCGGTTCTCCAGTTGTTCCTGGCCTGGGCATCCCTAGATGCTTGTGTTATTCTCTTACCCAAGGTTCCACAGTCTTCCTCTATGCTGTCTATCCAGCGTTTTGGGGGCTTTCCTCACTGTCGTATCCCGTGCGCTCCACTCCAAGCAGTGCTGTCTTCGGGTATCGGCTGTCATTCATTCTCATAACATGGCCAAAATTTCTCAAGCACCCTTGCCGTATCCTGTAGTTTACTTCCTTCTGTAGATGAAGATGGTTCTTAATGTCACCACTGTGCAGCCTATCTCTTCGTGTGACACCTAGAATCCCCCCGAGACATGCCATCTGAAACACATTCAGTCGCTGTTTTGAGGAGCATTTCATTGTTCAGGTTTCAGAATTGTAAAGAAGGCAGCTCAAGACAAACGTCTCATAGACTTGTAACCTTGTTGTTGTTGTCGTGTCTCTTGCTGACCAAACCTTTCCTAGTGCCTGGAATGCAGCCCTCACTATTCCTATCTGCCTCTTGACATCTGAAATAGTTCCCTCCTTTGAACTGATGTTTCCTCCCAGAAAGACAAAGTTGACTGTTTGCTTGAGGTTCTGATTCTTCACTATAATATTAGAATCCTTGTGCACCCTTCCCATGTGTTGTATCTCAGTCTTTCAATGTTTATTTTCATCTCAAGGTTAAAAAAAATACTTGGGAGGCACATGCCTTTAATCCCAACACTAGGGAGGTGGACACAGGAATACAAGGCAGGTGGACACAAGCAGTTTGAGGATTGGTAGAGTCAGGAGCCCCGATTTGGTCTGAGATTTAGTAGAGGTAAGAAATGTCTGGTAGCTGGCTGCTTCTCTTCTTTGAGCTTTCACCCTCAATATCTGACTCTGGGTTTTTATTGTTAAGACTAATCAGGATCGCACTTTGCCCATTTCCTTGAGCCTGGAACCCTTGTGTAGGAGCTTCCTTCCCCACTTGGGGTTTCCCTGAGCACAGGTGGCACATCTAAAAGTGATTTCTTTAATTAGTCTTTCCAAATTTGGAACAATACCTAGATCTGAGGAGTTAAGAAGTTTTTGTGGTGGCCTAGGTGGATGACGTCATGGAGATCTACCACCAGCTGCTTTCCCAGCGCTGTCCCCACAGCATCCACCAACCTTGCTTAGCCCATTCTGGGTGGTCCAGTAAATGAGTCCCATGCAGGGCCATTAAGATTTCGAATGTTCCTACTGGTTTTAGGGCCACTTCTTGGGGCGGCCAACTCAGCTGCTCTGTTGCTTCTGGCTTCTGGGGAATCTCCTTTTTGGTGTCCTTTACAATGAACAATGACTAACCTCTTGGGTACCAGACAGCTTCCAATAGGGCTCAGATTTCTTCTCTATTTTTAATTTCTTTTCCTGCTGAGGTTAGTAATCCTCTTTCTTTATACAGTGCCCCATGGGCATGGGACATAGCGAAAGCAAATCTCCTGTCAGTGTTTATGGCGAGAGCCTTGTCTTTCCCAGAGAAGTGGGAAATGCTTGAGTCGAAGGTAAAGTTTGTTGAGATGAGGTTCCCTGCTTAAAGACTGTCTCCAAATAGTCTTATCTTAGGTCACCAACGCTGTACCCCTGCATACCTGATCCCATCTTGGATGAAACTGCTCCCATCTGTGAACAATACCTTGTCTGGTGTTGCCAATGGTATGTCAATCAAATCAGGTCAGTAACTTCAGGAGAGTCATGCCGGGGATCTGAGGAGTTGTCTAGTAGGAGAGTGGCAGGGACCAAATGTGGGGTTGATCCAGAAGTAGGGCTTGCTATGGGGTCACCTGAGCATTAGACACCCATCTCTCGGGTATCCCCCTCAAAAGGGCCTCATCAGAGTGTAGAGTTATCAGGGACAGTTTGTGTCCTAAAGTTAATCTGTCAGATTCTTTTACCAGCAAGATGGTGGCAGTAAGGGCCTTTATAAATGCTGACCATCCAACTGTGACCAGACCAAGTTTCTTGGACAGATATGCCACCAGTCTTCCCCAGGGCCCCAGGGTTTGTATGAGGACCACTGGGACAATGCCTCTGGCTTCACCCATGCACAAGTGGAACAGTTTATTAATGTCTGGGAGGGCCAGGCTGGGGCAGACACCAGGATCTTTTTCATGGCTTTGATGACCCTCTGCTCAATCTCAGTCCATTCCAAATACCAGCTGGGTACCCCTGGTGTTGGCATAGATGGGGCTTGGCTACCTCAGCAAACCTCATTATCCACGGCCTGCAGTATCTAACTGCTCCCAGGAATTCCCCTTACTTATTTTGATCAGGGAGCAGAGATCTTCAATTGCTGACTCTGCTGTGTTTGAGGGTTCTCTGCTGCTATCTGCTGTGCTCTAGATTTCTCCTGCTTTTTAATTCTTTAATTGGCAGAGAAAATAAACACAACCCAGACCTGTAGACCATATCGTTTCAGGAACCTTAGACTGTATCAGTAGTTTATTATTGTTAGGAAATCCCCAGGCACTCCTAAAGGGAAGGGCCACTGACTTGGTCCAAAATGACAGTCTTGGCTCACTCAGCTCATGCTGGACTATTGAATTGCTGGCTGACATTTTCAGTATTTCTCAAGAACTTGCAAAACTATTTGTGTCTGCCAGGGTGAGCCTTTTCCCTACTTTCCCTGCCTCTGGCAGAAGAGGCATTTGGCTCCCTATTGACATGCACGTATGGTGTGTACCAAAGCTAATGCTAGCTCCTGTACTTGTTATGCATCTCGGAGTCCAGGCTGGCATCCTGTTCTTTGCACTTCCTCCTCTGTCCTCTTAGGCAGCTCCAGTTCACAGGCTTCACTATTCATGGCCATGTCCGTTTTTTTTTTTTTTGTTTGCTTGTTTTTGTTTTTTTCTAATCTGGACTCCTCCAGAGCAAACGTCCAGAGGCACTAACTAGCATAAATGCATAAATGTAGTACGACATATTATATGTTAACAGTGAATCAAAGAATTATCATCACCCATTTTAGGTGGGTGACCCCAAAAGCAATGCTAAAATATGCAAATCGGTGGGTAATATACACAAAATTAAACAAGCTATTGTTTAGTGACACACGTGGCAAAATCACAAAGAATAAGTAAGCACAGTAATATAAAATTGAGAAAAAATTTCAAAGCTTAAACATCCACCCGACGAACCTCTTTTTCATTATTTCAACGAATGCGCTTCAAGATAGCATCTTGTCTGATTTCTAATCTTGTCCCCTGCCCCAGCTCCTACGGCCGTGATAGGTCTCCAGTTTTTACTCATTTTTAAGAACTGGACTGAGTGACAGTTTGTGAGTTGTGTAAAAAATACACTCTAAGGCAGCTTTCAAGGCTCGGATGGTGGAGTTCAAGTCGTTGCTTGTGGCTTCAGTTCACTGCAGGGATCAACAGTCGACACGGGTAGTTTGTGCCCTGTCTCTGAGCACAGTGAGGGTAGGAAGTCTGGATTGAGAGAGAAATGTGGTCCTGACACCTAGGGGTGTGGAGACTGCAGCCCCGCCACCTAGAGGAAGGTAAGGCGTGAGTGGCAAACAGCAGCCCCATCACAAGAACACTGATCAAAAACTCGTCGCTGTCTATCCGAACCTACTCGCTAACGAACGACCTCTCTGATGACATCACAGCTCTTCTGCACTTCTGATTGGCGGAGCGGCATGCGGCTACTCTCGCGATATTTCTTTGCCAGATCCCGGTTTGCTTCCCGGCGCCCGTACCTTCGCTTGTGGATCGCGAACCACGTTACGAGCTACCGGGACGCCATAGACTAGACGGGCTTCCGGGACTCGTCCAGAGGCGGCGACTCTTTGCAGACGTCCCCGGGCACGAGGTTTGGCTCGCAAGTGTGCTGCCTGCCAGGCGCGCGGGCGTGTGGTACCGACTCAACACCGCGCGGCCGGGCCAGCCTGCAGGGCTTCCTGAGGGTGCCAGCTTGAGACTCTGGTCGCTTAGGTCTCTATGGAGACAGGCCTTTAACCACTTTTTCGCTTGTCATTTTTCTGACTCCACGTGGGAATCTGAAAGATGTAGATGGGAGGGAAGCAGCAACTGGTATCTACGAGCAGAAAGTCACCAGGCTGGACAGGGGTATTTCCCGCACTGGGGAGGCCCAGTTCATCAGAACACACGTTTATCCATAGAACACACAGAATCACCGAATCTGTTTTCTGTGCAGTCCCATACTACTGCAAACTTGTCATTTACCCAAAATGTCTCCAATTTCCTTCCTCATTACCTTCTCACGTTGTTCCCTGGCTGCTCGTTTAGGAAACTTTTCTAAATTTAACTAAGAACTTCAAATTCTTCCCTTATTGTCTGCTGTGTTCATTCTTAACCTTTTGGTGGACTGCTCACTTTACTATTGACTTTTTGTCCAAATGTATTATGAATTCTTTAGTATCAGGATCAGCCTGACACTTAGCCGTAGCGTGAACGTTTAGGTAATAGGTGGTCCACCTTTTTGCCATTAAAGGTATTTGCCCCTCCCAGAATGTCTCTAGCAGATGTTAATTCCTTGGTTTTGTCCAACAAACGTTTATAAAGCATCTACATGCCTGAATGTTGAAAGAATTGAGAATTTAAACACTGGAATTACCATTAAAATTGCCACCTTCTTGGAGTTTGCTAATAGGGAAAACAGACAATACACAGATGTGCGAGTACATGTAGTTTCAGGTAGTAATATGTGCTGTAAAAAATGATGGAAGGGGTGTGTATCAGTGATGACATAGTAGGTCAAGTGACAGAAAGCTTCTCAGGTGGTATTCAATCACAAATTTGGATAATAAAAAGTATGTCTTGCCGTATATATGGGACAGCATTAGTGGACAGATCTGGAAGGCTCATGGGTGATAACAAGAGCATCAGGAGCTGTGAGTGCTCTTAAGGTGGCAGAGCAGATTGCTTTGAAATGAAAAACAGGAAGCTGAGTTTTCAGGCTTTGAATACCAACACCCAAATTTGGATATTAATAATTAAATTGCACTTAGTGCCATTGGAAACCCTTGAGATTATAAGTAAGTGTATGTTTAGACTTCGTTAATGTTTTTAAAAGATTACTTTGATGATTGACAAGAATGAATTCTTCAGAGGCGGTGGGGGTGGGGAGGCAGTTAGTAAGCTGAGTCAGGCCTATAGGTGAAATTATACTGAGTCAGTTTCTGCCTTGGAGAGATTCTGAGGGTAGCCCATTCCTCGTTGGACCACAGAGTTCTTCTTTGACTTAAGCTGGAATTTGAAGTTTTGTCAACCTAATCCTTCAGTGGGACAAACGAAACCTCTCCTTCAAAGCAGCAGCTATTTTTTAAAGAACTGCATAGTGAGATTCCATTTCAAACAACAGCAGCAAAAACACTAAACAAAGAAACAAGCACACAGTTTTTCTTTTGTAAACCAGATATCCTCACCTCAGTGATTGTCAGCCTGGGGCAGTTGTGCCCTCTGATAATGGCAGTGTTGGGAGACATCTGTTGGTTGTCTTAACTTGTTGGAAGTAAGATGCTCCTGGCATCTAATGGGATAGAGGCTGGGAAGCTAAGCATCCTATAGTGCAAAGGACAACATCCTCAGTCGTCGTGTGGTCTAAATGTCAGTGTTGCAGGAGAAACCCTCCACTGGACCAACATTTTAAACTCTGCTTTCTTTCAGAGACTGCTGTTTGTCCTGTCTAAAATGGGTGTGAAGAAGAAAAGAGAAATGCAGGTTGCTGCATTAACTGTCTGTCATCAGGACCTGGAAATTTTGAGATGTAGGTGATTTTTAAGTTTTGCTAGTTTAGTGAATGAATTTGCAAGTTTGCAAGCAGTGTATTTAAATCTCTGGGACGCTTTAGAATATAATGCTGACATTCTTTCTGCTTAATTTTTTTCATTTTTTTGTATTCAATTTTTGATAAGAAATAGTTATGTTAAATATTATTTGTCTTTAGACTGAATTCTGCTTGCTATTTTGGTTTCTATACTTTTTAAAAAGATTTATGTATGTATATGCACCATGTATGTGTATTCTGGAAGCCCACAGAGATCATAAGAGGGCATCAAATCCCCAGGAACTGTAGTTATAGAGGGTAGTGAGCTGCCATGTGGATGCTGGGAACTGAACCTGGGTTCTCTGCAAGAGCAGACAGTGCTCTTAATGGCAGAGCCTCTGTACCTATTTTTACTTTATTATTTATTAATCTGTGTGTGTACGTACACACACGAGTGTGCACACGCTCACTCGCTGTTTACTTTTTTTGACAATTTGAGCTAGAGTCACCTGGGAAGAGGGAAATTGCATCAGAAAATACCTCCATCAGGTTAGCCTGTAGGCAAATCAGTGCATGTGTGAATTTCCTTGATTAATGATTGATTTGAGGAGGGCCCGGCCCATTGTAGGCAGTACCACCCTTGGACAGGTGGTCTTGGGTTGTGTAATAAAAGCAAGCTGAGTAATCCGCATGGAACAACCAGTGAACAGCGTTGCCTCCATGGTCTGTGCTTAGGTTCCTACCTCCAGGTCTCAACCTTGAGCTCCTGTCCTGACTTCCACTAGTGATAGATTGTGACCTGGAAGTTGAAAGATAAAATAAACTCTTTCCTCCCCAGGTTGCTTTTAGCCATGGTATTTGTCACAGCAGTAGAAAGCAAACTATGACAGCATGTGTATATGTGGACATACACATGCCCTGACAAGGTGTAGAGGTCAGAAGACAACTCTGAAGAGTTGGCTCTTCTCCCTCCACTGCATGGGTTCTGGGGACTCAAACTTAGGGTCAGACTTGGTGGTAAGCCACTCACTGCTAACCCACTCACTGACCCTGGTTTATATCCTTAGCAGTTTTGTAGCATGTATAAGGAAGGAACAATTAATCCATATGTAGCTACATTATTGAAAGTTTTGTTCCTGTTCCTTAGCTTTTGCTGATGCGGAAGGGAAAAATCTAGCCTCTTTGTTGCTACATTGTGTACAGCTCACGGATGGAGTGTCCCAAATCCATTCTGTTAAACAGGTAAAGTGGAGTTTTGTTCATGATGTGTCTTAAATATTATCATGCTATTATGGATTTTAAAAATTAACTGACAGTTTTTGGTTTTATTTATTTAATGCCAATTTATCACCAAATGACAGTTTTTCCTTTTTCTGTTCACTGCATAATGTCTTTTTATTCAGAGCAGCAATAGAAATAGTAAAGAAGCTTCCACCATCATTGTGATTATAAGTAGATAGGAGATAATTGTGTGCCGTTTTTTAAAATTTTTATTTCTTTTGTTTTCCTGAGACAGGGTTTCACTGTGTAGCCCTGACTGTCCTGGAACTCACTCTGTAGACCAGGCTGGCCTCAAACTCACAGAAGTCTGCCTGCCTCTGTTCCCAAGTGCTGGAATTAAAAGTGTGTGCCACCACTACCTGGCAATTTTTTTAAAAAGTTACTATTAATTTTGAATTTTAATTTCAGCAGACACATTTGAAAGTTAATTTAAAATATAGATTGTTCTTATTTGTATTTCAGCATTTAGATTTTTCACACACACTTTGAAATGAGTTAAATATATTACTCACTTCTAAAGAATGCTATAGACTTTCTGTATTACCCTGGGGCATGTTTGTGTGTCTTTTTTTTTTTTAATTTAAATTTATGCCCTGGCAGTACTGAAGCATGCGTGGGCAGCCTGTATATGGCAGCTCTGTTGAACTTGTCCATATTGGGTTTCATTGTCTAAGTTGATGAGGATGACTGACCAGTAGAATCAGTCTGAGAATGTAGCTCCATTGGTAGAGTGCTTGCCCTGGTTTGCTCTTCAGCACCGCATAAATCAGACATGGTGGCGCGTGCCTGTAGTCTCAACTCTCAAGAGGTAGAAGTGGGAGTATCAGAAGTTCAAGGTCACTCTCCTGCTTTCTTTCAAAGAAAAGGAAAATGACTTAAAAGAATATTTGTAATCATCTTAGTTTGATGTACTTGATATTAGAATTGCTTTGATTTTTTTTTTTTTTAATTATAGATTGTGCCTTTTCTGGAGAAAGTAGATAAAAATGGTGTGTGTGATCCTGCTATTCAAAGTTGTTTGGATATTTTAGCAGGCATTTATTTTTCCTTGACTCTGAAGAATCCCTTGAAGAAAGTTTTAATAAGGTAAGGAAAAGAAGAGAGTATAAGTTGAATGCTACAAAGAATAGCCAGGAGCTAGATATACTCTTCAGTAGTAGTGCTGACCTACCTAGTCAGGTGAAACCTGGCTTCCATCCCCAGCTCTTAAAGAAAGAAAGAGAAAAAAAGCAAAATTCATTCACTGTTTTGGTAAAAATTAAACTAAAGTATATTACTACAAGTTTCTTTTCTTTCTTTTTTTTTTTAAGATTTACTTATTATGTATATAGTGTTCTGTCTGCATGTATGTTTGCAGGCCAGAAAGAGGGCACCAGATATTATTACAGATGGTTGTAACCCACCATGTGGTTGCTGGGAATTGAACTCAGGACCTCTGAAACAACAGTCAGAGCTCTTAACCTCTGAGCCGTCTCTCCAGCCCCCTATGTATCTGTCTGAGGTTTTCAGACAGCAAAAGGCCTTAGGTTATAGGATAAAGAAACAGCTGCACATTTATTCTTTGGGTCCCAGTTCACTGGTTTCTGGGTCAGTTCTTTTACATGGATGTTTAATCTATCATCTTGCTTAGATTAGATCTGTCTATCTAATCAGATTAGAATAGATCTGTCCCCATCTATTCTGACAGATAGTACAGGATTATATGCTTCATATAAAGTATTAAGTAGTACAGAAGTCTAAAAAATTAAGTGAAGCTTGAATTCCACCATTTCTGCCTTGTTTCATTAGGAAAGGGTTGTCACTTTAATTTTGGTTTTTGAAACCTTTGCTTTGGGTTTAACATGTATACTATGTTTTGGTTTTAATATTTTTACGTAAGCAGGATTATACTCTACACAATACTCTGTAGTTAATTTGTTTGCTAAAGAATATCTTTGAGGGCTGGTGAGGTGGCTCTGTGGGTCAGGGTAATTCTCATCAAGCCTGACAGCCTGAGTTTTATCTTTGCCTTCTATGTGGTAGAAAGAGAGAACCAACTCTTACAAGTTTAATGTCCATATGTGTGCTGTGGTACCCATGTGTCGGCAAACAAACAAGCAAATAGAATATCTTAGAGAAATTTCTATATCAAAATAGCCCTTTTAAAATTTTATTTTTTGTTTTGTGTATGAGTGTTTTGTTTGCATTCATGACTGTGTATGTACTCCATATTAAGATATATCAAAATGTATATCATGATACATGTTATTTGGTTTGTTTAATCTCCTTGCCACTTATGAATATCCGATGTTGTAGGTTTCATTATTTCAGCGATGCTGCAGTGATATTCTTTGTAATACATAGAATGTATGTAATCTGCAGGAATTACTAGAGTGGGATTTCTAGACCAAAAGGCCTGTTTTGTAGATGTTGTTGACTGTTTTTCTCCTAAGCTGTTTATTTACGCTGCTCCAGCTGTGAATGACTCTACTTATTTTTTTGTGTCTCTCCAGCTCTGGATGATACCAGTTTTTACATTTTTAAAATCTAAAGATGAGAAATGCTATTTTATTATCGTTTGTTTATCCCAGACTGTTAATGTTGAACTTTTCTTGTTGCTGGGTTTTGACCTCGTCCTGTATGTTAAACAGATACTCTTCCATTGAACCACATCGCCAACTCATGGTTGAACATTTTTGCAATGTGTGGAGTTGATTACCTTTTAAATTATTATATATCTTTTCATTGTCTTATAATCTTTTCTTGATTTATAAATGTTCTATATAGATTATGTGCCAAATATATTCCCTTATTTTTCACTTTCTGCATGATATATTGTTTTTGTAAAAATCAAAAATACCTTGACCTTACTAATATTTTTCCTTATATAGATTTCTAAACTTTTTGCCCACCTATTTATGCTTTCTCTAATTCAAGATTGTTTATTTATCTGTCTTACTTTTTTTGTTCAGTTTTTAAATCCATCTACAATCAAGTTTTGAGTATTGGGTGAAGTAGGGATCTAGTTTCACCTAGGATCTCTCTTATCCCCAGATTGTTGGCTCATGCATTTCCCTTCATATTTAGAATACTTCTTATCATTATGTATTTTTATATAAACAGAGGTTTGATTATTTTACACTTGTGCGTATTTGTTATACCAATACCACTCTTCTTTTACTGTTTTATTGATATGATTCAAATACAGAATAAGTTAACTTTCTACTAAATTTTCTTTTTCAGAATATTCCAGTTTTTAGATTATTTCTTCTAGAAAGTAGTGAACTTCTCAAATAAAAAATGTGGTTTTGATTGATTATAGTAAGGAAATTTTTGTTAAGTACTTACTTTGTTTCAAACACATTTCTTGGAATTGAGGTTAAAATGAATGTAAGAGTTTCTATTTGTGGAGTCTTAGATGCTAAGGGAAACAGGACAGCCAGCACCATGTACAGGATAGCAGGTGCCGAGAGCCGTGAATAGAGCGGAGTGGAGAGAGGAGCACTAGCATGTGTGGACTGTGTGGGTGGTCACGTCTCACCTCCTCCTTCGCTTATAGTATGTGATATTTGAGCTTGACCTACAAGATTTGAGGTCATAATTATTTAATATTTGAAGGAAGTGTGTTTTAGATGGAGGAAATAAGTGAAAAGATTTTGAAAAGCTCTCAAAACAAAGAAAAGTCATATAGTCAGAGCTAAGTGATCAAAGGTTGAGATGAAGTCAGAGGGCTAATGGTGAGGGAGAGAGGCAGGTTTTTGAAACGCCTTGTAGTTTACTGTGAGCTATGCTTATTAGTGCCACTGTTTGTGGAACTTGTTAGAGGATCACAGGTCAGTTCTTTACGTCTCTGCATGCGGCATTTGGCAAACTCAGTTCATGTACTGAACATGTACAAACTTGTTTTCTTTATTATCGTCCCTTAAACGACAGAGAAAACAACTGTTAATATAGCATCCCCATTGCATTACATATTGCCAACAACTTAGAGGTGGTTTAAAGTATATGGGAGAATATGCACAGGGAATAATACAAATGCTCTGTATGTTATACAGGAAGTCGAACAACCCCCAGTTTTTGTACCTGGTTTGTTATGAAATCATTCTCATAGTAATTGGTGACTATATGGTGTTTTAGTACTATTGTGTAAGCTGAAACTGAGTATTCATTGCCTGGCCACCCAGACCTGAATAATCACACAGACACTATGTTAATTACAACACTGTTTGGCCAATAGCTCAGATGTATTTCTGGCTAGTTCTTATATCTTAATTTAACCCATTTCTATTATTCCATGTATCACCGTGAGTCTGTGGCTTACTGGTACGATTCTGGCATCTTATTTCTTTGGCAGCTTACATGGCATCTCCTTCACGCCATCTACTCTTTCTCTATATCTCTGTTCAAATTTCTCACCTGACTTTACTCTGCTAAGCCAATAGCTGAAACACCTTATTCATCAACCAATAGAAGCAATACATATACAGAAGGACATTCCACATCACTATTGCTCTGGCTATTCTGTTGAGAGAAGCCTGGGGATCAGAAACAGCAAAATGGAACCAGGCAGACAGATAAGAAATGGTAGATAGCGAATTTTGGTGATGGCAGCATAAGGTTATAGTTTCAGAGCTTGTATTTTAAAGGTATGGTTCAGTGTTTAACATTTGTATATTTCTCCTCCCTCCATACTTAACCCAGTGATGTAAGCTTTTCATTCTTTGCTTTTTTACAGCTCACTGAATGGCCTACCTAAATTTTTTCTGACTGAGGCTATACACAGTTTTACTTCTCACCTGCAAGAAGAATTAAATACTGCTGACTTATATTCTTATAGAAAAGTAATAGACAATATATCTTCCTGCATGGAGAACTTTAACTTGGGTAAGCCAGTACTTTTCCTGGCTAATGTCTGTCATTAGATCACTTTTTTTAAAATGTTCATTTTGGCAAAAATTCCTTAGCTTTGTTAATTTCCTACCTGCAGGTAGAGCAAGTGTTGTCAATCTACTTGAAAATGGTAAGTTTGATATTTTCTTTTGCTCTGAGGGGTGACAGTTTCTCTGGAGTGGTTTTGAAGCTGATTAATTCCCATTTCTTGGGAGAATTGGAGTATCCCACATAACTAAAGAACACCATGCTACTTTGAAGTTTCTGCTTCTCAATGACGTCATTTCTGGTAGACATTTGAAAATATTCCTGGTACTGAAGCTGGAACCCAGTTTGGACTTCTGGTTTGTCATTATATTCTCTTTTTTCTTTCTTTTTTTCTTTTTTCAGTGCTTCATTTTCTGCACAAGAGTTTAATTGAAATCCTGGAAGAAAACAGGCAAGTGCTGTATGTTTGTGTGCTTGTGCATATGTGTGCACATTTGGGCTTGTCTCGTACAGAGGAAACTTTCTTAATGGTCTCAGAATGTGCTGTTTCCAACATTTGGCGTGATTATTTAAAATTTTTTTAGAAGTGATGTGTGTAATTTTTAATTGATGTTTTTGAGACAGGGACTTACTTCATAAAACGAGCTAACCTCAAACTTGTAATCTTCCTGCTGTAGCCTCTCAGATGCTAAGATTACATGTATGTATCACCATGCTCAAATAATATTTTTTTAAAGATCATTATTACGAGAACTATTGAGAAAGAGAAAAGTCATTTCCTCTACCTTTGAGTTTTTGATATTTTCATGGGTGAAATTTCTTATTATCTTTCTGAAGATATTACTAATAGTTACCTTTTTTAAAAAAGTTCTCTTAGATTTATATAGTATTTGGTTTTTCTAAGTTTTTTTTTTTTTCTCCTGTTTGCTGTGTTTGTTGACTGTATTTTTGGGAAGAAACCTTCCTCAGAAGTCTAGTGATATTGGCTGGTCAAATATTCAGGAATAGATCATTAAACATTAATGTGAATCTGTGCACATGGTTGGGGGTTGACTGCAGGTTTGGTCTGTTTCTTGGGGAATCCTCTAAGCTGTGCTCTTGCTCCTTGCCGAGTAGATTTACAGTAGCTTCAATATCCAGACTTTGCTTTAATATTCCTATTGCTGAGTGGCAGTATAAAGCTGAGATCTTGGGTTTTAACAACTAAAGTGCTCATGGTTTCTAAGCCTTTTGGAGTTATAACTGAGGTTGCTTTCTGGTTATTCTCTGATTTAGTGTCCATCTTTCCTTATTCTGCTGAGTCAGTTACCAGTAGTTATATGCTTGGCAGCTTCTAAAATATTGCCATTATCACTTTGTTCCTTATGTATCTATTTATGCCTTTTTATATTTTAAATCATGGCTGCTAGTTTAGGAAAGTTCTGGAATGGAGTAGAAGTATTAACTGTATGCCCACTTTAACCTGAGGTTGTCTCCTTCAAGAGGAGCTCCTTTGTCTCCTTTTTAGACTCCTCGGCTCATCTCATGGACCAGGGTCCGTTCCTCCAGTTTTATTTCTTCCTACTATTTCTTTGTTGTCAGTCACTGTCTATATACTATATTTAGGATTTTTAGTTAGCTCTTCTTCCTTAGTAGATTCATATAGTCAGTTGGTTCCCAGGTACTTTGACTTAACAATTTTATAGGTGCTTCAAATTCAATGTATGCAAAAGAAAATTCACTGTCTTCTTCTTTTTTTTTTAATTCACTATCTTAAGAAGATACAAACCCTGGTCACTTCCATCCTACTTTCTGTTTCTTTGAATTTGCCCATCTTTGATACTTCATGTGAATGAAATCATATAATATATGCATGTTATTTATATATATATTTGTACATGCATGTAGTTTTCATTGTTTATATATATTTGTGGTGACAGGAATATAGTTTTATTCTACAACCCAGATAGGCGATGAGTTCATGATTTTTCTGCTTTAGTCTCCTGAGTGCTGAGATTACAGGCATATATCGTCATGTCCACCTGATGATATATTATCCTTTTATATCACACTTATTTCATTTGGAATGTTTTTAGTATCTGTCATGTTGTATTGTGTATCAGAATTTAACTTTTTTTTTTATAGTCAAATATTCCACTGTGTATCCAGGGCACATTTTGTCTATTTATCTGCTGACTTTTTTGACTCTTTCTACCCTTTGGCTGCTCTGTAATGCTGCTGTAAGTATTGGTCTGCACAAGAAGCTGTTTTAGTTTCTGTTTTATTTCTTTTCTTCCTCTCCTCTCATTTGTTTGTTTGTTTGTTTTTAAAATAGGGTCTTGCTCTGTGGCCTCAGTTGGCTAGAATCTCAGCTGTAGCTTAGACTGGTCTCAGAGTTGTGGCAGCTCTTCTGCTTCAGCCTCCCATGTACCTCACATACTTGCCTCTGATTTTATTTATTGGAGATATATACCTAAGAGTGGACTAGCTGGGTCCTATGCTAATTTTGTTTGTTTTGAGGAAGTTACGGTTTTCCTTGGCTTGAGTTTTAATAGGATTTTCTGTTTTCCCCTTTTGAAAATAGAGTGAGAAGAATGAGGCTGAAGGCTGGGAGAGCAGGTGAAAGCTATTGTAACCCAAAAGAGGCATGAGGATGGCTCAGGTCAGATAGTGGCTGTGAACATGGGTGTTTGGAAACAGAACCAAGATTTCCTTGCAGATGGGATAGAGAAGACAGGAGGCCAGCATGATTACCATGGTTTTAGAAATAGAGATCCCAGGAGGTAGCGCAACTTTGGAGTCAAGGATAAATTTACCTATCCTGAGATACCTATTAGATAACCAAATGAAGATTGTGAGTAGGAAGTTAGAAGTACAAGTTTGTAATGGGAGATATCTAGGTTAGAGCCAAAAGTTGGGCAATAATTAACCTATAGACTATAATTTAAAGTATCAAGAGAGAATTAGATGAGAATAGAGAACTAAGTGGGACTGAATCTTGGGGAGCTTTGACATAGAGTAGGATGGGCAGGGAATGTCTCAATGTCAGAGGATCTACTTAGTGTACCTGAGGCTTTGGGTTGGACCTTCACACCAGAGAGAAGGGGTGGGGCATGAGAGGGAAGAGTGGAATAGTTAGTGGGGTAAATAGATCAGGGGGAAGAGAACAATCTAGTCATGTCTGAGGAGAAAATCTAGGACAGCATGTTGAAGGCAGGTGGAAAAAGTATGCGTCCACTGAGTGTTCGTGCCTGTGAGTTGTCTCATTTGTCTTTTTAAAATTTTCTTACCTTTGCCCTAAAATAGGGAGTAAGGTTAATCTTGCTGAGAAAGAGGGGCCTATTGCTGTAGGAGTATTTAGGAGTTCACAGTTAGTGTCCATGTAACTGGAATGCTTTTCCCAAATTAATTTTGGCCCTTGGAGAGAGAAGTGGTGACATTTGTATTTGAGTTTCCTTTTGAAATTTTTTTTGTCTTCTTTGTAGAAAATTTGCTGGAAATCATATTGTTCAAACACAGTTAATGAATGACTTGTTGGTGGGTATTAGAGTTTCAATGACATTAGTACAGAAAGTACAAGGTCTCCAGAGTGATCTTGGGAATGATTCTGGCTCTCCCATCTGGCAAACTATGTGTGGCTTGCTGAGCGTTTTCACCAAGTTTTTAAATGATGGTAAGTGTACAAAATGATGGTCATAACTGCATGCCAGTAGATTTTCTATATTTGTAATTGAGATGTGGGACTTTAACCTATGGGGAAACAACCTGAAGTACATGATTTTAATGGTTTTTTTTTTTTTTTTTTTGGTTTGCTTGCTTTTTGTTTTTCAAATGTTTGAGTTCAGCAAGGGAGGTTGAACTTTTCCCAGTTTGCATGTGTTTTTATATGTGAGCATGTTTATTGTGAACAAAGGAGAAATATCAATACTCTCATTGTTGGAAAGCCACAGATGTTAAGTTATCCTGAACCTTGCCAGCTCAGTTGGCAGAGCCTGAGACTCTTAATCCCAGGGTTGTGTGTTCCAGCCCCACGTTGGTCGTCAGAATGTAGCATAATTAAGAAGGTCCACAGGAGCCTATAATAAAGGATAACAAATGTTTATTGGGGAACACTTACAATAAGAAAGCCGCAGCATTCCTCTTCCAGCTTCTGCCATCAACCAAGCGAAAGGGAAAAAGGGATGAGCATGCTTGCTGTCGGTGCTCTAGTACCTCAGACCACACCCTAATGGGCTGGTATCCAAAAGGCTGTTGGCTGAATGAATTCCCACAATACCACCACAGACTTTAAGTTATAGAAGAAAATTCTTCAGAAGTAGTTACCAAATTTAAGAAAGACTTAGAAAGATGAGTTGAATTTTTAGTGGTATTATATTCAAATAATGATAATAATTGTTGATTATAAGCCTAATTCCTCTCTATATCTCTTCTGTCCATGAGAACTATACCACTAGGAAGCTAAAAAGAAGAAAATAAATTTTCCTCATGAGAGTATTTCAGTTATTAAATTTAAATGCAGTAACATGGCAGACAGTTGAGTCATCTCTCCAGGCTCAGACATAAGTTTAATGAGACATTATTTTCTGAAAAGTTGATGGCACTCCATCAGCGCCATTTGTAGTTAATTCAAAGCTTGTTGTGTTAGTAAAGTGTTTAGCTGCGAGTAACAAAATTTGTATCCCAAAGTTTAGAGGCAGATGACCCAGAACTACTGCCACCAATGTCGGACCCAGCTCTGTGTTTCTGCTGGGGCATTTTTATCATGTTGCTGCCTAACCATGGTCCTGCTGCCTCCTGTTTGGCATCTGTCTGCTGTAGCTGCAGGCATCAAGTGTTTGTTCAAGGCGAGAAGGGCCTTGCATCTCTTTCTTTGTCCATCCATCTGTTTGTCTGTCTCTTTCTTTTCTATGTCTGAGTATTTAGCATGGCAGCAGAGGGCATCTGATCCTATTATAGACAGCTGTGAGCCACCGTGTGGGCCCTGGGGATTGAACTCAGGACCTCTGGAAGAGCAACCAGTGCTCTTAACCACTGAGCCATCTCCCTATCCACAGGGACTTGTATCATAATCAGAAAACTAATAGATCCAAAGGACTTCTTCCTATAACTCATTGGCCTGAACCCCTGCAGTGGTTGTCTTTAGTTTCAAGGAGTATTGTGGAAGCAAGAATCCCGCTTTTTGCCAAGCATATGGCTACCCAAAGTCAGTTTTGTTCCCAGAAAGGAAGGGAAGAGTGGATATTTAATAGTTAAGGTGTTTGTCATACTTCTTAGTCTGAGCTGAGTAATTCATATTCCTGGAGACTAATGTATATGCAAATGAAGAGAGGGTAGCGAATCATAATTGTCTGGTCATTGAGTACTGTGCCAGAAGGGTTTCTGGTTGACATTGATGTAGATTTTCTCACACAGACCTTCAGAGCGCTTTCAGGAAAATTGTCCTTGGAGTGGGAATGCAGGTGTCAGTGTCAGGGAGGGCAGGGGCCGCTGTTACCAGGTGTTCTAGTAGCTTGGATGTCGAGGATGAGCGTAGGATGTTGGACAGGAGAGGAAGGGAGCTCATTCACTAAATATGTGCTGGGCTTAACTTCTTTCTCTTCATTTTCATTTAAACTTTATGACAACTTGTCTGGTATGAGTTTTTCTTTATCTTTTCCTTTTTTTTGAAATGAAAGCTGAGTTCCCAGGAAGTTAAGTAACCTGTATGGAATCTAGTTACCTGGGAAGTGGTGAAGCTGGAACTCTAGGACCGCTGACCCAGAGCACTCGCTCTTTCTGCTGCCCTAGACTGTCCATCCTTTGTACATGATGTTGCTTCTTCTTCCCATAGACAACCTACTGCAGACTATTCAGAGCACATCAGGATTAGCTGTCATTCTTTTCCTGAAGACCATGCTCCATCCGTCTGAAAAGCTTCCTGAGTTGGTGAGCGCTTCTCCTTTTTAGAAATTCCCTTCAATGAGAATTAGAGAGACATCAGTTTGTTTTAATTTAAATATTTTATTGGTTACTATCTTACAGTTATTGTTTGTGGTATGTGTCTGGGCACACATGTCACAGTGTATGTGTAGCGGTCAGTTGACAACTTGTGGTAGGTGATTCTCCCTTTTTACCACTTGGATCCTGGGGATCAAACTGAGGTTCTTAGACTTGACATGCTTCTGTTCACTACGCCATTTCACTATCCCTCAATTTTTAAAATGCATTAGCTGAATTTTTAAAAATTTATGTGGCATAGTTGGAATTTTTCCAATGGCTCTTTTCTCTTACAATGATAATTCTAAATATGCAAATGATATGGTGGCAGGATGATGACAGAGTAATAACAGCTATCTGTAAATCAGTTTTGCAGAGATAATTACTATTAGTGTTTTGTTGATTCTCCTCCTCATTTTCTGTAGGGCCAACTTTTTGGTTCTGTGTGTCTGTGGTAACAGATATTTATAACATCACAACTATGCAGTGTTAAATGTTTAAATGCATGGCAATAATTTTCCGATAGTGGTGGTGGTGCACGCCTTTAATCCCAGCACTCGGGAGGCAGAGGCAGGCGGATCTTTGTGAGTTCGAGGCCAGCCTGGTCTACAAGAGCTAGTTCCAGGACAGGCTCCAAAGCCACAGAGAAACCCTGTCTCGAAAAAAACCAAAAAAAAAAAAAAAAAAGGAATAGATTTTATAATGTAATATACTTGATCATTTTTTATCATGTAATATAAGAGGCATGTTTGGGTCAATTTTTAGTGAATTTGGTCCCTAAGGAAAGTGTAATTTGGTAATGTAGACCATAGTTTTTGTATTGTCTGCTAGCATTCTTCCCTCCTCTCAGTATATTATCTAGAAACTCAGTTTGTCTAATTAAACATCTCTGTATTCTGAGATCATGCAAAATCATTATTCTTGAATGCAACTGCCCTTTTTTTCAGAACTCCCCTAAAAGCATTCTTTTGTCCGTCTGCAGGTGCTGACCTCTATGCTCCACCAGTACTTTCATCTCAGCAGACAGATTTATATGCTTAGATGTCATTGTTTTTTCTTTTAAAGTTAGTGTAATAATTTTAATGTTTGTGGCTGTTTTATCATTACTTTTCCTAGAATATTTCGACAAAGAGATTTGTAGGTTTGCGTTTGAGAACCATATGTTATTGCTTCTGTTGTTTCTAGATCAGCAGTCTGCTTCTGCAATCAGTTGACTGCACCAGCATCCCTGAGTGGTTCATGAGCAGCTGCAGGAGCCTTTGTTGTGCTGACATGCCGGCGTCTACTCTCTTATTCCTGTGTCAGGGAACACTTGCTATGTTGGACTGGCAGGATGGAAGCATGGGCCCAAGTGGGGAGGCTTTGCTCTTGGATACTGTGTGTGTTTTGTTTACCTTGAGTTCACAGTGAGTTTTTGTTTTGTTACTTCATATTTTGTTTGTTTATAAGACATTTGAAGGATACAACTAACCCAACAAACTCAGTTCAATTAAATGTGGTAGGATGAATTCTAAATTAAAATTGATGAGTGAGAATAGATTAGACATTAGAGATAATGAGAAGATAATGAGAATGACAGTCATAGGAATTATTGGTATAGGCTATCCTAATGAACATTTCTAATGCTCACTTCTTTGTTTGTTGTTTTGAGTTATTCTTATGTTACTTTGAACTTACTTTGTGGCCAAGGCTGGTTTTGAACCCCTGATCTTCCTGCCTCTCCTTCCATAGCAGGTATACACTACTACACCGAACTTATGCAGCATTAAAAAAAGATTTTATTTTTTATTTAATAATGTGCATATGTGTGATGGATATTTTCATGTGTGTGAAGTGCCGTGGAGGCCAGAGGGGCAGTGGATTCCTTGGTACTAGAGTTAGAGGTGGTTGTGATCTGCCTGACATGGGTGTTTGGAGCTGAACTTTGGACCTCTGAAAGAACAGTATGGCTTTTAACTACTGAGCTATCTCTCCAGTTTTTAAAAACTTAAAAATTGTGTTTAGGGATGGTAGAACACATGACTCTATTTTCAGTTCCTGGAGCTGTACCAAACCAAACCAAACCAAACCACAGAAAAATCCTATAAAAATGCCTGAGCATATAATGCTTTAGGATTCATGAGTTTCATGAATTCTAGGTAATCCAATACTTTTTACATATAGATAGTATAAAAACTTAATTTGTTGGATGAGTAAAGTGAAGTTTAGACACTAAATGCTCTCTTAGGAGCGTGTTATAATAAGGTAGTCACAGAGCTGAGTTCCTTTGTTTTGCCATTGTGGCTGAAGTGATCAAGTACTTAAAATGTCAGAACAGAGTTTGGTGAGATGGCTTAGCTGTTAAAGGGGCTTGCCACCAAGCCTGATGATCTGACTTTGATTCATTGATCATACATGGTAGAGGGAGAGGACTGACTCCTGAAAGTTTTCCTACGATCTTAGCACACCTGCATGCAAACGCACACTAAATAAATAAATAATAATAAAAATTTTAAAGTCAGACCATGAATACAGCCTATCAGAATTACTATTAAAATAAGCCAAAAGCTCTAAAATAATTTTTTCAAGTTGGAGGTATAATTCATGTACTATAAATTCACAAATGTAAAGTGCACAATTGTGTTTCTTTTAGTGTGTTTATGGACTTGTACAACCATCACCACAGTCAGCCTCAGAGTGCTTCCATCTTCCTGGATGGTCATGGTGGTGCACTCAGGAGGCAGAGACAGCAAGATGAGCTTAAGTGTAGCTCAGGTTACATAGTGAGATTTGTTTCAAAATAAATGTTCATCATCCTAAAACAGCAGCTACCCAAGCCCTCAGGCTCAACGGGTAGGAGACTTGCTGTGCAAGCATGTGGACCTGACTTCAGATCTCAAGCAGCTCATGCGCCTTTAACGTCAGCATTAGTGAGGACAAGTAAATCCGGGGAGCTCTCTGATCAGCTGTCTTAACTGAAATAGCTAGCTTGTAGTTCAGTAACAGACCCTGAAGCAAGAGAGAGAGCTGTGGAAGAAGACACCTGGCATCTTCTGTGGCCTCTGCATGCATCCTCACACTCACTTGAATCTGTACCCCCTCCCCCCACAATTTAAAATACCAATGAAACAATCATCACAATAAAGATAAAGTATAGTTTCTTTTTTCCTAAAAGTTTTTTGTATTCATTTTTTGTTTTTTGTAAGATAAAAAAAGTCATGTGAAAGTTTGACTTTCAGTTTGACCTTCATTTGTCATTTTCTTGTTGTAAATTTCACTGAGTTTTCTGTTCATTCTTTGTTTTTAAAAGTTATGATGTCTGTGTAATTTCTTCTACCAAACAGTTTATAATAACTTATATCATGGTTTATTTTTCTCCAGGATTAAGGAGTCAACACTAGAAATGTTCCTGTCTAGAATCTTGGCATCTTGGACCAATTCAGCCATACATATCCTTGGATCAAGTTCCCCAAGCCTAAAAGACTCTCTGAATGGGGGTTCCAGCATAGCTAGGAGACTTTTGGAATACGTCTATACACACTGGGAACATCCATTGGATGCTCTGAGACACCAAACCAAAGTCATATTCAGAAATCTTCTGCAAATGCACCGGCTCACTACAGAAGGGGCAGATTTAGTGACTGACTCTTTCTTCCTGGAATTGACTAAGAGTCTTCTCCAGTTGGAATGGCATATTAAAGGGAAGTACGCATGTCTTGGCTGTTTGGTTGAGAGTATTGGAATTGAGCATATTTTGTTAATAGATAAAACAATTCCATCTCAGATCTTAGAGGTGATGGGAGACCAATCATTGGTACCTTATGCAAGTGACCTTTTGGAAACCATGTTTAAGAATCATAAGAGCCATTTGAAGTCCCAGACTGCCAATACTTGGATGGATGAATGGCATGAGACTTGGGTTTCTCCTCTCCTTTCTATACTGTGTGGAGGAAACTTGGATCAGAAGTCTTATGTGATCGATTATTACTTGCCAAGGTTACTGAATTACAGCCCTGAAAGCCTGCAGTACATGGTGAAGATTCTTCAGGCATCTATTGACACTGAAGCTGGTGAGAAATCTTTTGTTTTAGTAGTTCTGTTTAAGAGACTTAAGTGTAGGTCCCTGTGCAGATGCTTGTTATCTCCTAGTTTAAATATCTCCCGTCTCCCATGCTCTAAGTGGTAAAGAATGCTGTTAATGGTAGCCACTTCAGATGGAAACAGATTAGACTTTCAATACCTGAGTGGTGTTTTTGGCTAAAGTAGTTTCACCAAGCCAAAGAGTGATTCCAGTTACAAAATTTTGTTTCGTTTTTTTAAAAAGATTGATTTTTATGTGTATAAGTTGGTATGCTTACCTGTCTAGTGTCTTTATGAGCAACACATGTGTGCCTAGTGCCTTTGGTGGTCAGAACAGGCATTGGATCTTTTGGAATGGAGTTTCAGAGAGTTGTGAGCTGCCACATGGGTGCTGGGAATTGAACCTGGGCCCTCTGGGAGAGCAGCCGTGCTCTCAACTCCACAGACATCTGCTCCAGCTCCTAGTTACAAGGTTTTAATTTATTATTTTGATCTCAAACTAGAGTAACGGTGTATGTATTTTATATATTTTTCTTTAATTTGTATAATTTTATCCAAATGATTGAAATAGCAATTAAAAATGCTTTAGGCTGGCTTAATAAAAACACGTGAGTTTTTCCACAACTTAAAATAAAGAACTATGTAGTTATTTAGAATAGGGGGAATATCCCACTGAAGTGCTAAAGGAATCATGGTTTATAATGAACGTATAGCCATATGAGGTGGTATATGTCTTCAATTCATGCATTTGGGAGACAGAGGCAAGAGGATTGCTTCCAGTTCAAGGCCAGTTTTGTATCCATAGAAGTTCCAGGTAGGCCGTGACTGTATGAAACTCTCTAAATACATAGATAGATAGGTTAAAAATGAATGTGAGGTGATAACCCTGAACAAGGAAATCTCAAAAAATTTCTTAATTTGGCTCTGAGAGGGAATTTTAATTTTGTACACAAAATAATGTGTTATTTAATAATCTTTTACAGATGTTCTTTATGAAGCTGTTCTTCAGTTAGCTTGTGTTTATTCTGTGTAAGGTGTCCTGTGAGCCTCAGCTTCCTGTGCTGTATCAGAGCACAGCTTTGCTAGAGGCTGATGTTCTACTGAAATCAGGAAGCCTTTGTGGCCATGTTTTATGTTCTTTATAAATGAGAACAACTCCAAAATACATGTTGTGAATCAATATTTGTTTTCAATCAGTGTTTGAACTAGTACAATGTTTCTACTATTCTTGTGGAATTGTTTTACTTTTCTCTACTTGATTTTTTTTTATCTAATTCACATAATGGTGGTTTTTTTTTTGAGATTCAAGACCAAAAGTAAAAGTATTAGAGAATAAGTTTTGATTTCTTTATATTAATAAGATAATTACGCTTACTTGAAATTATTGCATGATATTTTCAGTTATTTTTATTTTAGAATAAGCACTTTAATTGGTCCTAGAATTAGTTTAAAATTTAATGTTAATTGGAACATAGAGAGTTGGCATGACATAGTCATTGCATAGCACAGGAATGATCTTTGCCATTGTGCTTTTAAGATAAGAACGGTCTCTTCCCCTCTTAGGGGCTTGTAATCGCAGAGGGGCTCTGGGAGCTTTGATGGCGTGTCTACGGACAGCTAGAGCTCATGGACATCTTCAGTCTGCAACTCATGCCTGGGAGAGCCTTGTGTGTGGGGCAAGGATAAAGCAAGGCTTAATTCACCAACACTGCCAAGTAAGGAAACTAGTGTTGCACACATTAGTCCCTGCTAACCTGATTCTGTTAGTAGTCCTACTAGTGGCCCCTAAGTTATAGGGGGTCCATTTTGATAGTAGAGGGCGGCATCTTTGTACTCAGTCTATGCAGTGTCTAGTTGAGAACATGGACAAGTTACATGAAGAACCTGCAGCTCTGAGAGACAATGTAGAGTCAGTATGTCTAGTAAGGGGCTTTACCTGAAAGATTTAGAGGAGCCCAGCAGTGTGGTTAGGAAATGGAATGTTAGAACAGTACACAGAATGGAGGCGAAGCTCATATTGGGAGAGCTCCAGAGCTAAACTGATGACTTCGTTGATTCCCAGTTACCAATAGGATGGGCGTGTTCATTGCTTATCAGTACAGTCAGAGATGAAGTTCTGGAATAGGAGCAAAGGAAGCCAGGAGATCAGCTAGTGTGAACTGGATGTGAGCTGTGAAGGCCTGGAGTGAGGTAGCTCTGAGAAGACGAGAGGGGTGGAGCTAAAAGCTATATAAATAAGGCTTTGGCTTGTGAATGTATGTAAGCCTCGGTTTATACATGGAATGACAGTTTTGTAAGCAGTAACTAACTACCAGGTGTTTTGGATTAAGACGCCTCTCTGAGGTATATGTAGGCAACATGAAGTTTACTTTTTGTTTGGTAACTTACATAAATAACACACATAGTTTAGGCTTTTCCTAGTTCTTGGGAAAATTAACATTTTATGGTTTGGTGTATTTCAGGTGCGGATAGATACACTAGGTTTGCTTTGTGAAAGTAACCGGAGCACAGAAGTGGTCTCTCCAGAAGAAATGCAGTGGGTTCAGTTCTTTATCACGTATAATCTCAACAGCCAGTCTCCAGGGGTGCGGCAGCAGATTTGCTCGCTCCTTAAAAAGGTACAATCTTGCATCGGAATGGGAAAGTGTAATTGCTCTAGAAATTGCTGTTTTAACAGGTCCCAGATTTGGGGCAAGTGTGAAATCCTTGTGGTTGGGCTGCCACATTTCTTCATGGGTTCAGTGTCTTGTCCTGAGTTCAGCAAATTTGCATGTGGGATTAAAATACCACACAGGGCCAGGTGGTGCTGGTGCACACCTTTAATCCCAGCAGTTGTGAGACAGAGCCAGATAAATCTCTGTGAGTTCAAGGATGGCTTGGTCTATAGAGCTAGTTCCAAGACAACCAGGGCTACATAGAGAAACCCTATTTCAAAAAACAAACAGAAAATAAAGGTTTTAAAATTTAGGACAGAAAGTTCTTTCATTTGGGTGTTAAAAAAAAAATCAACCCTGACCTCTTTACAAGTATAATTTAAAACATTTTATTCATTTACTTAGGGGACAGGTGTATATGTAAGGGTGCAGTTACGGAGGTCAGGAGACAGTTTGCAGGAGTTGGTTCTCCCCATCTGCCATGTGAATCCTGGGAATAGACTTAGGTCATCAGGCTTCGTGGCAGACACCATTACTGAACTATTTCACCAGCCCAAGCTCTTTTTTTGAAAGAAAAAAAAAAAGTCCAGCGTTGGGGTTGTTGGAGCGTGGGCGGTTTGAAGAGAGCGTTAGTGCTGGGACGGCAGCTCTTGCATTTGTGAGCACCTCCGGACTGGTGATTTCATGGTAGCTCACCTTGAGTCATTTGTGTAGCACATCTCTGGTGAGGAACTGGGAAGGTGCAGAAATGACTGCATCATCTCAGCTTCAACCAGTTTAAAGGAAGTGGGAAAACTGGTTTGATTCTGGTTGCAGTAATATGTTGTTTTTGGTAAAACTATAAAATGTTAATTTTATGGCAAAAAGAGACTGCAGATTTCAAGATTTGAAATTTCAGGCACTGCATCCACCTTAAATTATTCCTGCTGGCCTAGGTTTATTGTGTGATTCACATAGTTTTTATTTTTTAAATGTCTTTTTCTCCTTAAAAGTTGTTTTGCAGGATACAAGAAAGTTCTCAAGTACTTTATAAGTTGGAGCAAAGAAAATCCACACTTGACTCAGAGAACCGGTCCAGCAGAGAGCAGCCTCCTGTCTCTTTGCAGCAGTATAAGGTAGGTCATGTGCCGGACACACAGGACTGCAAAAACCAAATACTGTGAGTAAGCACTAGAGGGCAGCAAACAGAAATCTCTTGCTGAATTAGATTTTTCCTCGTCACAATGGGTGTTACATCTTCCTTCTGGGACTGGGTACCCTACTGGAAGGAGCTGTGGTTGGAGAACCAGTGCAATACCTGAACTGTGACAGAATAACCTCTGAGTAGCTTCTTTTCGAGGGGCCAGTTTACTTATTTCTTTGACATTTGTTTAGCTGCTACCTCTAAAGTCCACCTCTTCATTGGGCAGAAGACTCTGCTGAGACTGTGACTCAGATTGACAGCTTTTGTGTGTGTATAACAGACACATAATTTTTGTGTGTATGTGGTCACGAGTACTTGCATGTGGAGGGCAGAGGTAGATATGACCAGTCTCTCCCTTACTTTTTGAGACAGGTCTCTCACAACCCTTGAGCTTGTTTTTTCAGCAACTGGTTGGTAGCGAGCCCTGAGCACCCTCTTCTCTGTGCTCTAGGACTGAGATCACAGGTGTGGGTACATCTAGCTCAGGTCCTCATGTTTGTAGAACAAGCACAGTACCAGCTGACCCATCTTCCCACCCTCCTGTTTTCTATGCCATCCAGAGCCATATAGTGAACTCTGTCTCAAAAATCAAACAATCAAACCATACAAATAAACATCAAAACCAACAAACAAACTAAAACCCCGAACAAGTTGGTTTTGAGGGTTAAATGAGAAAACCCTTTGTAAACACTCACTGGGGGGGCTGGAGAGATGGCTCAGAGGTTAAGAGCATTGCCTGCTCTTCCAAACGTCCTGAGTTCAATTCCCAGCAACCACATGGTGGCTCACAACCATCTGTAATGGGGTCTGGTACCCTCTTCTGGCCTGCAGGCATACACACAGACAGAATATTGTATACATAATAAATAAATAAATATTAAAAAAAAACACTCACTGGGGGCTGAGGAAATGGCTCATCAGGTACAGGGGCTTGCTGCTAGGCCTCATATCTTAAGTTCCAAACCTGGAATCCATGTGCAGAAATTCTACTCCTGAAAATTGTCTTCTGATTTCCACATGGGCACAGTGACATTTACTGCTCATATTCGGATACATATATAATAAATAAAATAATAAAAATAAAAAGTCTTACTGGAAACCATTAAAAGTAGTTGGGAGTGTATATGGAGCCCCTGCCCTATGTGTGAGAGTGATGTGATGTTTATTAGCCTCTCTTAGATCATTGCTGGATTTGAGGAAATAGCTCCTTTGCCTCTTAATGAAAGGAGTGACATGACATTCATGAAATGTCACTTAAGCCCTTAGGAACAGAAAAGCCTATTGTGTGGATTGAGATTCTAAATTTTCACAAAAGTTTTTCCGTAGATATTCCTTTTTCCCTCTCTTGAGACAAAGTCTCGCTCTGTAGCCCAGGCTAGCCTAAAACTGTGGTCCTTGTTCTGAGAGCTATGAGTATAGTCATGTGTACCATGTCTGACAGATGTATGTTTCTTGAACATTAGAGACTTAATCGAAGTCAATCTTGTGGTTATGATCATTTCTTATAACTGTTAACAGTCTGTGGCTTTTGGAGGTTGTGAACTTTGCCCTGTTTTACCGTCATCATACCAGTGGGTACCATGCAGTGTGTGAAAAGCCCAGTGCCAGTTACAGACCAAGTGCTGAGGAAAAAGGGGAGGCTTAGTTGATAAAGATATCTTTTAGGGTGGTGGAGATGATTTCTTCCTAAATAACCAATCCTAATGTCTAGAGTACTTTCAAGCTTATCAAGCACCATGTACCTATGTTTTCATTTAATCTTTTAGAACAGACTCTGGGTTAAGCACTCTTACCCCCGTAACAAGTGAGAAACTGAAACTTAAAAAAGTTGAGTGACCTCAGCTACTAGAAGTAAAGCCAGTACCCAAATCTAGATTTGCTCCTGACTGGAAACACCCTAGTAGTGCTTTCCATGGGCTCACTTAAGTGGGAGCTGGTAGATGAGAGAGATTAGGGAGGACTTAGAAGTGAATTCACTTATAAGTAAATACGGCACGTGGAATGCAGAAGTTGAATAAGACCTGAGTGTGGGAAATGCACAGTAGAGACTTCCTGTGGTTGGTTCTGGAATTTGGAAGTCTTACTAGGAACCGTAAGTTAGCTAGACTGGGGATGGAGTCCAGTTGACAGAGTGCTTTCTTAGTGTATATAAGCCATGTGTGAATCCCAGCCTGGGTGTGGGGTCCATAAACGGGGTGTGGTGGCACACACCTGTTGTCTCAGCACTTACAAAGTAGAAGCAGGAGAACCAGAAATCGAAGGCCACCCTCTGTCACATAGCAATTAGATCTTTTTATGAACTGTCACAGTTCATTTAGTAGTCTATATTGACTATTTCTTTTTTACTCTAAAACTTTGGAAAGCTGCATACCTCTGATGCCTGAAGGCTTCTGTCTGGAGCAGTGAGGAATTCATGAGACCCTGGCACAGACAGGGCCTGAACAGATCTTTTTTTTTTCTTTTCTAAAACTATGTTTGTTTTTTTTTTTTTTATTGTTGAATCAGTAAAGACAGGTTTTATTAATGTCATGGTGTAGTTTATGCCTTTGGGGTTGTCCATGTTACGTTGCTGTATCAAATGCCTGAGGGAGGGTACTTTGGAAAGGATAGTTATGAAGAGGAATTAGTGACTGGAAAGATCAAACAGCAGAGGTGAGGGTTCCCTGCCCATGTCATGAGATAACAGAGTGGTGGACATGGTATGGAAGGAGCATGTGCTAAGGAGTGAAGGCAGAAGAGCAAGCTGAGAGAATAAACTGGTAATGAAACAGCCATTCCCACAGAATCTTATAGCTTAACAGTGACCTGATTCACTCCTGACAGCATTAATCAATTCCTGTGGTTGTAGTCCCCTAGACCTAATTACCTCCCACCAGGCCTTGCCTCTTAAGTTTATACTATCCCACTGGGAGGTCAAACTTGAAGCAGATGAGTCTTTAGGGGATAAATTGTCCAAACTCTAGCAGGTGTCAAGCTGAATAGTCAAGCAGCTTCTAAAGAGTCTTCTCTCTTTAGTAAATGTAACAAAAGCAATCCTCCTGAAGGGAAGCACCTAACTGCACGTTAACTTCATTATTCTTAACTGTAGTTTGTTTTTAATTTTAGAATTTCATGTCATCTGTTTGCGACATTCTTTTTGAAGCATTGTTTCCTGGATCTTCCTACTCAACAAGGTTTTCAGCTTTAAGCATATTGGGATCAGTAGCAGAAGTGTTTCCTGTCTCAGAAGGTAAGCTTCACCATTGTGTGGGAAACATAAGACTTGACCAGCATTTTGTTGTCTTTCGATAGATCCCATTTTAATACATAGGTCTCATTTGTACTTAAAGTTGTAATTAAAGTTGCTAGAAAAGGGCCGATGGGAAAGAAACTGTCTCCTCTTTTTGTCAGTCAATGTCTGCTTAGCATATTGTCACGTTGCATGGATCCTCTTGACTTCCTGCACCAACACTTCCCGTACCTCACAATTTGTTTGTGCTGTTATAAGAAGGGGCTTTATCTGTTAAGTTTAAAATGAAAACCACGATGGTTTATCTTATATTTAATAAAAAGATGAAAGAGCCTTTGTGGTTAAAATGTGGTTTCTCATATACGCCATTTGCTTGGAGATTTCTAAACCTTCAGAAATCACATACTTTAGTACAAGAACCATTTCATGACAACAAATTAAATTATCTACATAAAACGTGCAAGTTGATTCCAGAAAAAGGAAAGCTATGAGAAAAAGAATAATTCTATACTTAGTAAAAAGATTGAAACAGATTGAAAAGATTGAAACCTCCTCCTAGCCTCTGGGTATGATAATACATGCTTTTAATCCCCACACTTAAAGGACTGAGACAGGGAGATCTCAAATTAGAAGTCAACCTGCTTTACCTCATCAAAACCTTGTCTCAAAACAAATATAAAATCAAAAAGTATTCTAACAAAGCAAAGTCTGGGACAAGTGACTGATAAATTCCACCAAATATTTATAGTATCCCTTCTCATAGTCTTTCACAAAACTAAAGAGGAAGGATGACCTTCTGATTCATTCTGTGAACTCATAGAAAAGCAAATAAGGCTTGTAGAAGGGTCATCAAGATGGCTCAGTGATTTGCTGCCCAGCCTACCTATGTGATAGAAGGAGAGAACTGACTCCCACAGATTATCCTCTGACTTCTACATGTGCACAGTGGCACATAAATGCAATTAAAAAAAATTAAAAATAAGGACTCTGTAAGAAAACGGTAGACCAGTATCTCTTATGAATATAGATTCAGAAAACCTCAAGAAAATACTCCAGCAAACAAAATTCAGCAGCATATTAGAAATATTGAACACAGGGCTGGAGAGATGGGTAAGATGGTTAAGAGTACTTCCTGCTTTTGTAGAAAATCCAGGTTCTATTCTTGGTTCCCACATGGAAACTCCAAACCATCCATGACTCTAATTCCAGGGAATCCATGCTGTCTTTTGATTTCTGTGAGCACTGGAAACATATGTGATACACATGCATATATGTAGACACTCATACACATAAAGTAAAAAAAAAAACTTAAAAAAATGTATGCAGCCAAGCGATAGTGGTGCACATTTTTAATTCCAACATTCGAGAGGCAGAGGCAGGTGGATCTTAGTGAGTTTGAGGCCAGTCTGGTCTGCAAAACAAGTTCCAGGACAGCCTGGGCTGTTACAGAGAGAAACCCAGTCTTGAAATTTGAAACAAGAACAAGAAACAAACAACAATAACAAAAATGTGTGCTACAACCATGTCAAATTTATCCCAGGAATTGGGGATGGGTGAAAATAAAAAGATCATATAGGATGTCGTTGCTTGTCAGTCTGTCAGTTGACTCTAAGACTTTGGATCTTAGGTCAGCAAGTTTTTTAAAACATTTATTTTTATTATATGTTCATGCATGTTCACCTGTATGTATGTATGTATGTATGTGTGTCTTCTATCTTTCTGGTGCCCACCAGGGCCAGAAGTCAGCAATGGACTCTTTGGACTGGAGGTGCCGATGGAGGTGAGATACCATGTGGTGCTGGAAACTGAACCTGGGTCTTCTATAAGAGCAGCAAGTGCTCTTAACTACTGAGTCATCTAGCATCATGATTTTTAAAAATGGGTTCCTAAGTTTATTGGTTCATTTTTATTTTCAAAGTAACTGAGAGATCTTTCATACCCTTTGAAAGGGAATAAAATATTTTTAAGACTTAAAAATGTGTTTTATATTTGTAAAGCTGTAGTACTTACTTTGTCATTTGAAGAGATGCAATTTATGCTGTTGTATAGTGTATGCTGTGTAAAGGATGAAATGAAATTTTATTGTGGGTAAAGTAGGAAGTATGAATTTTGTACTGATCTTATATAAGTATCTGACCAAGATAACTTTGGGCAGTTGATTTTTTTTTTTTGATTCACTTTTAAATGGTTTTCATTTATTTAAAAATTTAAGGTACCGTCCAAACAGTGTATCAGCTGAGTCATGACATTGATGCTGGCCGTTTCCAAATACTGATAGAATGTTTTACTAGTACTTTTGAAGAAGTGAAAACCTTAGCATTTGACCTTCTGATGAAGCTGCCATCAGTAACAGCTGGACAGTTCCAGGTATTTGGATTTACCTATGTAAATGTGCGTGTATGTAGAAATCTTATTTTAACTTAGGATTAACCCAAGATTGTCCTGGGTCTTTGCTTCCTTAGGTTATTTGAGTATTTCTTTCAGTTTCTGTCTGTCTGGTCTAACAGGAGTGGGAAATGGTAAAAATCCACATCACTGAGCTATACTTTTTAAAACTGCTTTGGTGGAAAGGGAGGCGTAGGAGGCAGTAGGTTTGTTGTTTACAAGATTATTGGTAGATTTCAGTTATGTGGTCTCCATAGTTCCTTTGGACTTGTAATATTTGCTCAAAACATATCACTTACGGTAATTTTGAGGTTTTAAAGATAATCTTCCTGATTATAGACTGAGAAGCTGAGTGTACATGAGGTAGAGAATGTGTTTCTGGTCTTCCTCTAAGCAGTAGCTAAACCGAGACTGAAACCTCAGACTATTTGAGGCTAGCAGCAGTTCTCTGCAGAGGTGCTTGGCCCCAGCCCTCTCCCTGACACTGCTTTTCCTGCCTTGGGGTAGGACATGAAGATGGGATTAGGGGTAAAGGCATGGTATAGGGTAGGTCTGCAGGGACACCCAGCCAGGCACTGTCCTCTTTAACTTGTTCTGGGGATGTGGGGTCACCAGGACCATAGTGAGGGTAGAGCTTTGCCTTCTGTTAGCATTTTCAGAGGCCAAGAGGCTGAGGGGCTAACAGCTGTTAGGTTATATTTAGGGTATGCTGTGCAGCCATACACCATCTTATAGGTGTGAGATTCAGGGGAGCAGGGTCTACCAAGACAGCACCGTATTGTTGTTTCTGTGTCTTTGGCATCACAGGGTCTCAGGATGTCACTGTTCTGACTTGGGTCCAGGTTAGGAATGGCTGCCCTGGATCTGGCTGTATCTGTAGTCTTCCAGGTGCCTTAGTGAGCAGAAGGTTCTTTGGTATCCACTGCTAAACTCTTGTGCCCTATAGAGTTTAAAAGTGGACTTTTCTTTTATTAGTACAGCTTCCCTTACTGTTTATCACGTATAGCTTTTTATCATATAGATTAGCTATGCCTCATTCCTTTCAAATAACTTTTGAAAGGATATGGAGTGAGAAGGTAAACTGTTGAAAGAACTGGTTCTTCCTACCTGTGAAGGCCCTGAGAGGACTTCCACATCTTTAATTCCATAAACATGCACTCATAGATTTAAGAAATTTCTGCCCCATGTGGTTTAAGTTAGGATTTTAGTTATAGTATCTGGCCATTGACATAAACATTTACGATTTTAAAATGAGGCAGACAAGGTGGCTCCAGTAGGTAAAGATGCCAGTCACCAGCCTTGTAATCTGGGTTTGGTCCCTGACCTCTATGTGGTAGAGGAAGAGAATCAGTTCTTTAAGTTGTCCTCTGACTTTCATTTGAGCACCATAGTGTGTACAAGTCCATTTCAGGTCACTACTCCCAAATAAATAAATAAATGTAATTTAAATAAAAGAATCAACCACCTCCTCTTTAAAGAAAGATTTTAAAATATTGGCTATTTATTTCAAAAGTCCTCCATTCTATGTAGTATGTCATTCTTTTGAACAGTGTAAGTTTACATTTAAGTATTCCTTGAGTGCTAGCTGAACCTCTTGACTACCCTGTGTATATAATACATGTTCATGATGGCATGTCTTTCTGATATGTGTCTTTTCTACTCATTTGGTTTTCTACCCATCTTTCTGTGGAGCTGCAAATCTTGTGTATTTATAGTACATTAATATTTTAAGTTTTTGAATTTTATTTTCATTTATTTGTGCATGTGTGCTACTGGGGTGATGTGTGTGTGTGTGTGTGTGTGTGTGTGTGTGTGTGTGTGTGTGTAGGTCAGAGGACAACCTACAGAAGTTGTTTATCTTTTTCCACCATATGAATTCCAGGGTTCTGATTCAGGTTTTTAGGCTCTGAGCCATCTTTAGGCTTCCTTGTATTAATATTTTGCTCTAAATGGTATAAAAGTATTCTCAGTTTTCTTTTTAAGTTTTTATGACAGGGTTTCTCTGTGTAACAGGCCTAGCTGTTCTGGAACTCACTTTGTAGGCCAGGCTGGCCTTGAACTCGCAGAGATCCACGTACCTCTGCCTACCGAGTGCTGGGATTAAAAGCGTCCCCACCACTGCTCAGCTAAGTGGTCTGTTTTTAGACTGTTTATTTTCTTACTGATTTATAGGTAGTGTAGTTTAAAATTTTATTCTTAGAAAGATGACTTAGATGTTTATTTAGTACTTCCTGGTAATTAGATTTCATTTTTTGGCCACCAAAAGTTTTTTTAGTTTATAGAAAATTAAATGTTAAGTAGAAAATAATTTAGATTAAAAACAAACTGACATGCAGATCACTACATTTGCTATCTACTGTTTTGAAATTGTTAGACATCACTGTCAGCGTACTAATAATCAAATCCAGAAGTGAGTTTCTAACTCCTCTCATTAGATAGTTATGGAACAACCCAAAAAGAATCACAGTAATACTGAGTAACTAAACACTGATGTCCAGAATGGTTTGATGACCATGTGGCTTGTCAGCTGTGGGATTGGGGCTGGGGTCCATGTGTCCATTGCTAACCCAGTGTCCTTCCCTAGTTGTCACAGTGACTTTTCCCTTGCTCTGTGTTCTTTAGCACAGCGAGGAGTGGAGTCTTAAGTAAGGCACGGGTGTAGGAGTTTGGCTGCCAGACTTCTGAGTCTGATTGACCCTTTCTTCTCCAGTTTGTATGGAGTTATACCATGAGGAGCCTTTCTTTGTCTCTGTCATTTGAGCAGCCATTTCTATGAGAAGGGAAAAGGGGAACGAACAGTAATGTGGTGTTCAGATAAGACATAAACTGAGAAACAAAGCTAATGAAACTTGTGCTCAGAGTAGAAGGTGGTCTGCCTGGGAGCCTAGCAGAGTTCACAGGGAAGCAGTATCTGTTTGCCCATTGAGTTTCCCCATTGACATTATATTCAGGGTCTTCATCTCTGAAGTGGTTAATGGTCATCACCAAGTACTGTAGGAAAAGTATCCTATGTTCATGGAGAAAAACAGTTCATAGTCATTATTGTTCATACTGAGTCACATACCAGATGGTAGGTATGAACTTAAATACACTGTTCCTTTAAGTTCCTCTCTGCCATGGTGATTGGGACTGTGCTCTGCTCTAGGATCCTGAGAAACTGCAAGACCTGTTCCAGGCAGCGTTGGAGCTCAGCACCAGCACGAAGCCGTACGACTGTGTGACTGCCTCCTACCTGCTGAACTTGCTGATATGGCAAGATGCCCTGCCAGCCTCCCTTTCTGCCTCCTCAGCATGGTCGCTCACATGTGGGGCTGGAGAGAAGGCTGCTGTGCTGGAAAGGAACACATTAGTGGGTTTGTATTGAGAGGAAGTCATCTTTCACTGTCATTTATCAAATCCTCTATGTTAGTTTCTTTTTGGTTAGAGTCCCCTGTGGTTCAATATTTTCTTGTTTTTAAAAGTTTCCAGCACATAAGAACATGAGTACCATTTATGCAAATTAATAGTTTATTCTTCTTTAACACCTATTTCTTCTGTTTTCTTTTTTCCCTCTATTTAACAACCTTAATTGTCCTGGAACTAGCCGTGTTGACCAGGCTGGCCTCTAGCTGAGATCCATCTGCCTCTGCCTCCCGAGTGCTGGGATTAAAGGTGTGTGCCACCACGCCCACCTGTTGCTAAACAGAAGACTTATGCTAAATAATTAGGTGCACAAATGTGCATTAATGGACACATTTTAAAGAGGGCATCTTTTCTTTTTTCATGTTACTTTCACTGTGTCCACAGACAAATCATCCTCATTGTATCTGTGCAGAGCAGTTAATTTGATGTTGGGATATTTTCCTCAATCACTTCTCCACCTTATTATTTTGTTATTTTTAAAAACATTAAAACTTAAATGTTGTTTGTGAGTGCACTTGTGTGGTGTGTGCATACATGTGTGCATGTGCATGGAGGCCAGAGGAGAAGATTTGCTGTCCTGTCCTATCCCTCTGTGTTTTCTTCCCAGAAATCAGTTCTCTCACTGAACCTGGGACTGCACTAGTGGCCAGCAAGCCCCAGAGATCCTCATGTCTTCCACAGTGCGAGGGTTGTAGGCGTCTGACCACACCCAGCTCTTGGATTTGAACTCAGGCCTACATGCTTGCATGGCAAGATAACATTGAGCTGTCTCTGTAGCCCTCACCTTAATTTTTGAGGCAGAATCTCTTCATTGAACCTGGAGCTTGCCATTTCTGCTTGACTGGCTGGCAAGGGAACTTCCAGATTCTGCCTGTTTCTGCATTCCATCTCTCCACTGGGGTTACATATGTGTGCCGCCATGCCAAACTTTGATATCCGTGCTGGTGATTCCAACTGAGAGCTTCCTGCTTGTATAACACTGAGACAATTCTCCAGCCTCCCTCCCCAACTTTCTACTCTCTCTTTTTAAAATAGGATCTCTTGTGGCCTAGGTTGGCCTGAAACTTGCTTTGTAGTAAATGGTAATCTTGAGCTTCTGCTTCTGCTGCCCTACCCAGTGCAGTACCAGGCATTGAGCCCAGGACTGTGCATGCTAGGCAAGTGAACAGCAAGAACAGGAAACAACACAGTATAGGGGGAAATGCAGACCAAAATCACAGAGAGGAAAGTCTTCATTCCAAGTGTGATATCTAAATAGAAACCCCGAAAGTATAAATGTTGTTGAGGTTGTGATGAAAATAGAATATGCACTGCCAGGGTCGAGGGTATGCACACAAACATTTAGCCTGTAAATATCCAGAGAAATTAAAACATAAGCCCAGACAAGAATTGTACAAGAATGTTCGTAGAAATATTATTCATACTTTTCTAAAAGTTGAAATAAGCCATGTGCACATCAACTGCTGAGTAAGTAAAAATGTGTTAGGCCTGTATAGTTGACTCCTGTTCAGCCATATGAAAGAATGAGTTATTGATGCAGCTTTGATGAACTTTGAAAGCATTATGACAAGTGAGTGGAGCCAGTCTTGTGTTACTCTTTTCTATTTATGATTAGTCTAGAATAAGCAAAAAAAAAAAATTTTTTTTTTCTATTTGTTTTTTTGAGACAGGATCTCATATAGCCCAGGCCGGCCTCTAACTTGCTATGTAGCCAGGCTGGTCCTGAACTCCTGATCTCCCTACCTCGCTTCCCATGTTCTAGGACTACAGACAGGTGTATATCACCACACCTGGCTAAGAATAGGCATATCTATACAGACAAAATAAGTCAGTACAGAGCCAGAGTAGAGCTACCATGAGAGGAGTGACTGTTGCTCTGAGTGAAGGTTTTTGTTTTAGTTTTGTGTATGTGTCAGTGGGCAGTAAATATGTTCTAGAATAGTACTTATGTTTGTATATAGAAAAAAATGACTTGCACACTCTTGATTTTACTGTATTTATGTGTGTATGCATGTGTAACAGTGAATGTCAGAGTACAACTTTGGGAGCCAAGTCTCTTCTTCCATCCCTCGAGCCCTGGGGTTCCAGCTCAGGCCGTCATGTGTGGTTGGACGCTCCTTTGGTCACTGAGCCATCTAACTGTGCTCAATTTGTGCGCTTGAAATGTGTGAATTGCTTGGTGTCTGAATTGTATCTTGATTACACTGTTACTAAATATCATTTTTGGCCAAATAGTTCATGCTACATGGTCCTGAAATTTGACACTCAGCTAGAAGGTATCTAAAAGGATTGGTTCAGAGTGAGTTTCATTAAACTGGCAGTTAAGTGAATGCATTCTGCCCCCCTCCCCCAAGATAGGGTTTCTCTGTAGCTTTGAGGCCTGTCCTGGAACTAGCTCTTTTAGATCAGGCTGGCCTTGAACTCACAGAGATCTGCCTGCCTCCTCTGTCCTGGAATTAAAGGCGTACACGACCACCTGGCTTGCATTCCATTCTTTAACAGTGTCTTAACTAGAAATTGCTAACAGGCTTTGATACCCCTGAAGTCTTTGATTCAAACTTGTGACTTAGGGGCTGGAAGGCTGACTCAGTTGGTAGAGCGCTTGCTGTGCACACTGAGGATCATCAGTGTCTATGGAAAAAGCCAGGAGTGGCAATGTGCATTTGTTATTCCAGCCTGGGTAGGCAGACATAGGGAGCATCTTGAAGCTGTCCAGCCAGCAAGCCAGCCTTGCTGCGTCAGTGAGCCATAGGCTTAGTGAAAGATCTTTCTTCAGAAAATGAGATGGAGTGATCAGGGAAGGTATCCAGCATTGACCTGTCTTCCGGCTGTACATATGCACGTTTGTACATTTGTGTACACTCACAGACCTCTAGTACATGGTTCTCAACCTTTTCACAGGGGTAGCCCAGGACCATTGGAAAACACAGATATTTACATTATGATTCATAATAGTAGCAAAATTACAGTTATGAAGTAGCAATGAAATTATTTTATGGTTGCAGGTCAGCACACCATGAGGAACTGTATTAAAGTGTTGTAGCATTAGGAAGGTCGAGAATCACTGCTTGTAGTGTAACAGTTAGTTGAGCTGGGTGTGTTCTTTTTCTCTAAATAAATTATAATGTGTTTTATATATAATTGAGGCTATTTCAGTTTCTCTTTGCTTTTTTTTCTAGTTATTAAATGCTTGATGGAAAATCTTGAGGATGAGATATCTCAGGCTGAGGTCTCCCTGCTTCAGGCTGCATCCTCATTTCCAATGTATGGAAGAGTCCACTGTATAACAAGAGCTTTTCAGAAGTTGCCTCTACAGTAAGAATACCCACAACTATATCTTGTTTTAGAAATACACTTGTGTCTGGCATTTAGCTTCTTATTGGAGTCTGTTTTTGGAAATGAATGTTATGTTGTCTTAAAAAGATTGAAAATTAGATTTAATTATCTACCCATATATGTATATTTTTAAGTCCCTAATATTTCATATACCACACAGTTTTAAGCCATAAATTCTTGCAGCTCTTTTTTATGTTAATTTCATTTCTAAACTGAGTGTTTTGCTTTTTCTATCATGTCTCTACTGTGTTGTTGCAGTGACCTGCAGTTGGTGAGTGAGTGGAGGCTCATGGTGGAGAGGCTTTTGCTGCTGTCCTACAGGCTTTCTGCTGTGGTGTCTCCTGTCATCCAGAGCTCCTCCCCGGAAGGCCTCATCCCTATGGACACTGACTCAGGTCAGCAGTTTCTAACTAGTATGAATAGCCCCCAGCAGGAGAGAAGTTTTACACAGCAGTGTAGTCAGTGGTAAGGTGCCTTTGCTCCTGTGCGCATACTCACCCATCTTCCCACAGGCAGACTTACTGTTATTCTCTAAGTGAGAAAGAAAAAGAAAAGGGACAAAGAAGGGGATCAGTGCGAGTGAGGAGGACAAGGGAGGGTAATGTAAAGAATATGATCAGAGTATGCTATGAAATTATATTCATCATTAGTCCTATCATATATAACCATTGCCTACTGAATAAAATTAAAATAAAAAAAGACAAAAGAAAAAAGAGAGTTACAAACAGTGTATATATAAAATGACCCCAAACTCCAAAGCCCCAGGTGATGAAGAAGATAGGTTGGGTATTATAGCATTGTTTTTCAGACTAGGTAGTACAAATACGTGAAATGGGCAGAGAAGACCACTTACTGAAAATCTGAAATGAACCAAGACCAATTGATGGGAATGAATGAAAGGAAATAGTTATCCAGAATTGATCTCAGGAACTTTTATCTGCTTTTGCCTTCCCAATCTCTGCATCTTTGCTCATTTTCCTACCATGAATCTGTATGCAAGTCGAGGGTTAGGACTGCTGGGCAGTCTCCCTTCTCACACCCAGTGCATTTCTCTTTTCTTTCAGGCTTACTCTTACAAACTCTTAAATCTCTTTCCTTTCTCTCTGCATCCTCTTGTCCTCTCCATGTCATTTTCTGTTTTCTTAGGTTACCCTAGATCCTTCCCTGTGGATTTCCCTGTATTCTTACCTTCTTCCATTTCCTTCTGATAAAGGTCAAGTGACTTTTCCTAGTCATGTAATTTATCATTTGAATGGCACACAGTCTAGCCGCTTGTTCTGACCCACGTTGATGGGTCAGTGCTCTTCCCCCATGTCCTGTAGTGGTTTGCACCTGCTTTCTCTCCAGCCTGTTTCTTAACACCTTTCTCCCCTGGAGCGCTCCTTCATGGAACGTATTGTGCTGGAGTGGCGCCTGTGCTTTCCTGCCTTGTGGTGAAATTTAGTGATGATTCATGATACCAAGACGGCTCATTACTTCAGCGCATGTTAATCTAAATACCGAATTTTGATACTTTAGTTTTCCTACTTAGATAGTACATCTTGAATATTTCGCTCAGGCAAATACTGGTAGATTCTAAATGAGCAATCTTGAATGTTTCAGTTCCCTAATGTAGGTAGATCGTGTGAATATGCATAAGAGGTTTTATTGTTGTTATTGTTATTTAAGAGTAGGTGGGGAGGAGCTGGACAGATTTGGGAGGGGAAAGAATATGATCAAAATTTACTGCATGAAAAAATTTTGAAAGAATAAAAAAAATTTTAAATTTAGAAAGGTTGATCTTAGATACTCTTTTTATCTCACAGACTTTTCCTGAATTCTGCTCCCAGCTCCTGAGGGGGAAGAATATTTTATATTTTATATAAATATTATATATATGTTTTATACTTCTTTCTTGTTTTATAGGTCATATATCCTGAACTCCCTTGCAAAGAGCCATAGTTAGATAGATAGGATTGCTAAAATTTTGTTCTAATTGTTTCTCTTTCTCTTCTTCTCTTGGCTTTTGGGGTGGGGAGTTGGGGATAGTGTTATTTTTTCCTGGCTATTAAAATTAGCTTTTTTGACAGAATTTCAGGGAAGCATCAGTGAGTATAATGTGTTTATTGAATGCCTATGAACACAGTTTTGAGCCTGTATATTTCCCACACTTCTCTGAATAGATATATACCATCTATATCTCCTATTAAATGTTTTTGTTTGTTCCATGTGATTGGTTACCTGTTGGTACTTTTTTTTGTTTGTTTGGTTTTTTTTTTTTTTTTTTGGTTTTTCGAGACAGGGTTTCTCTGTAGCTTTTGGAGCCTGTCCTGGAACTAGCTCTTGTAGATCAGGCTGGCCTTGAACTGACAGAGATCCTCCTGCCTCAGCCTCCTAAGTGCTGGGATTAAAGACATGCGCCGCCACCATCCGGCACCTGTTGGTACTTTTTAAAAATTAGAGTTTGGGTGGCTTCTAGCTACCTGTATCCATCTTCCCATTCATTTGGCCCAATTCCCTGAACCTCTGTATTGAGCCAGGTTTGTTCTAGGCATTGGTGACTCACAGTGAGCACCTGTAGTTTGCTAAAAGATACTTAATGAAACATTGGCACTGTGCATCATGTTGAGAAGGCTGGATCTTTAGCTTTTCTAAACCAAATATGGAATTTTTCTATGTTTATGTTACAAAAGATAGTGTGGTATTGATTTTTTTTTTAGCTATCACAACACATTTTTTATCTTTCAATCTTGGTAACTTATATTTTAGGCTAGGAAATGAAACTTTACTTCTCTCACATGATAAAGCTCTGTAACTGTAAGGAAAACAGCGATCACAGTCTTTGAATGGTGGATGTTTGAACTGCATTGTTGTCATGTCATATCTTAAGAGCACACTCTAATATCATGAAGACCCTATATGAAAAACTTCATACTGGCCATCCTGTGAGCTCAGGGATTGTCGCTGTTGGAAACTATAGCAACTTTGAGTTAGTTGAGGGAAATCTGCATGACCTGGAACTTGGCGTTCATGCATACTTATCTTTTCTTCAGAGTCAGCAAGCCGCTTGCAAGTCATTCTCAATGAAATTCAGCCTCGGGATACTAATGCTTACTTCAACCAAGCCAAAATACTGAAAGAACATGATAGCTTTGATTTGGAGGACTTGAGTACCAGTGTCTCAAATATTGATAGCTTTGCAGAAATCAAAGGTAAGATACACGAAATACTTGATACTGTAATCAGTGAGGTGTTGTGTTTTGTTTGTGTGTGTGTGTGTTTCCGAGGCTTGAGCTCAAAGCTTTGTAAGGCATGCTAGACAAGTGTTGTACCAACGAGCATAAAACTCTTTAACAGCCCAGCCGGGAGAGCAGGGACACATGGTGATGATGGACCTGGACATGGGCGGCCTCACCTCCTCCCTTCTGCACAGTCACAGTATCTTCTCTGGGAGTTCTTAAGTCAGCATAAATAAAGGAAATCTTATTATCAAGCAGAACGTGAGCTTCTGTGTTATATCAAACCACCAGATCACAAGAAGTAATTTCTTAGTGATTTGACCTGTGGCTATATTCTCCACTAGGTGGGGTTATCGACTTGCAAAAAATTCTCTTTGCAATTTATATTTTTAAAATGACAGTTATAGGTTTTCACTGTAATACCGAAATGTCAATTTTAAACAGTGTAAAGTCATGCTCCATATCCTCCCCAGTTCTACCCAGCTCCCATTTTGTATATAAGCCATTCTGTCCATACTGTGTATTTATTAGTGCATTTATTCTTTTAGCTTAGGGAGCTTTCCTTTTAAAAGCCAGTTTTGTTAACTTCCTTTTTTACATTAATAGAATTTTCTTTTTTAGTGTTAGTAATAAAATACACCTAGAACTTGGATAAGAAAATAAGCAGGAGGACATTTGGGACTGGAGAGATGGCTCAGTGGTTAAGAGCACTGGCAATTCTTCCAGAGAACCTGGGTTCAGTTCCCAGCACCCACATGACAGCTCACAACTGTCTGTAACTCCAGTTCCAGGGGATCTGATACCTTCCTACCAATGCACATAAAATAAAGTTAAGTAGGAGGACATTTAGCTCATTTGCCATGTGATTTAAACATACTTTGAAAGATAATTATTATTTTCTTTTGGTTTTAAAAGTTTTGTCTTGGAGCTTGAGAGAGAGCAGTTAAGAGCCCTGTCTGTTCTTTTGAAGGATCTGGGTGCAATCCTAGCACCTACACGCTAGCTCACAACTGTCTGTAACTCTAATTCCAGAGGATCCAGTGTTTTGTTTTGTTTTTTTTTTTTCTTTCTTTTTTTGGCCTCTGTGGGCACCAGTCATGCATGTGGTGATACACAAGCAGGCAAAGCAAAACACCCATGTGCATTAAAACACAAAAAAACATATTAAATGTTCTGTCTTAGGGACTGGAGAAGTAGCTAAGTGGTTAAGAGCACTTGCTGTTGCTTTTCTATCTATCTGTATCTGCTATCTATCCACCCACCCATCTATCTGTCTATCTGTCCGTCTGCCCATCCATCCACCTGCCTGCCTGCCTGCCAGCCTGCCTGCCTGCCTGCCTGCCTGCCTTCCTTCCTTCCTTCCTTC